TTAATTATGGTTCAACACCTAAATTTTCCACCCTTGTTGCATCTGTAGTTTTTTTTTTTGCACTTTGCACAGCAAATAAAACCAATACAACATGGCTCGTTGGTCTAGGGGTACGATTCTCGCTTACAGTTCGAGAGGTCGCGGGTTCAAATCCAGGACGAGCCCAGCTTTAATTATGGTTCAACACCTAAATTTTTCACCCTTGTTGCATCTGTAGTTTTGTTTCCACATTGCACACCAAAATAATTTCTATGTTCCATGGCTTGTTGGTCTAGGGGTATGATTCTCGCTTAGGGTGCGAGAGGTCCCGGGTTTAATTCCCGGACGAGCCCAGCTTGCATTATGGTTCAACAACTAAATTTTCCAACCTTGTTGCATCTGTAGTTTTGTTTCCACTTTGAACACCAAATAAAACCAAGATTCCAAGGCTCGTTGGTCTAGGGGTATGATTCTTGCTTAGGGTGCGAGAGGTCCAGGGTTCAAATCCCGGATGAGCACCAAAGAAAACCCAGGTTCCATGGCTCGTTGGTCTAGGGGTATGATTCTCGCTTTGGGTGCGAGAGGTCCTGGTTTCAAATCCCGGATGAGCCCAGCTTTCCTCATGGTTCAACAAATACATTTTCCACCCTTGTTGCATCTGTAGTTTTGTTTCCACTTTGGCACATCAAATAAATCCCATACACCATGGCTCGTTGGTCTAGGGATATGATTCTCGCTTTGAGTGCGAGAGGTCCTGGGTTCAAGTCCTGGGTTCAAATCCCGGGCGTGCAATCTTTAAATATGGTTTAACACCTAAATTTTCCACTCTTTTTGCATCTGTAGTTTTCTTTCCACTTTGCACACCAAATAAAACCCAGGTTCCATGACTTGTTGGTCTAGGGGTATGATTCTTGCTTAGGGTGCAAGAGGTCCCGGGTTCAAATCCCGGATGAGCCCAGCTTTCCTCATGGTTCAACAAATACATTTTCCACCCTTGTTGCATCTGTAGTTTTGTTTCCACTTTGCACACCAAATAAAACCCAGGTTCCATGGCTCGTTGGTCTAGGGGTATGATTCTCACTATGGGTGCGAGAGGTCCCGGGTTCAAATCCCAGACGAGCCCAGCTTTAATTTTGGTTCAACACCTATATTTTCCATGTGTTTTGCATCAGTAGTTTTGTTTCCACATTGCACACCAAAAGAAAACCAATGTTACATGGCTCGTTGGTCTAGGGGTATGATTCTTGCTTCGGGTGCGAGAGGTCCCGGGTTCAAATCCCGGACGAGCCCAGCTTTCCTTATGGTTCAACAAATAATTTTCCACCCTTGTTGCATCTGTAGTTTTGTTTCCACTTTGAACACCAAATAAAACCAAGCCAAGGCTCGTTGGTCTAGGGGTATGATTCTTGCTTAGGGTGCGAGAGGTCCAGGGTTCAAATCCCGGACGAGCCAGCTTTCATTATGGTTCAACAACTAAATTTTCCAACCTTGTTGCATCTGTAGTTTTGTTTCCACATTGCACACCAAAAGAAAACCCGTGTTCCATGGCTCGTTGGTCTAGGGGTATGATTCTCGCTTTGGGTGCGAGAGGTCCTGGGTTCAAATCCTTGTTGAGCCCAGCTTTAATTATGGTTCAACAACTAAATTTTCCAACCTTGTTGCATCTGTAGTTTTGTTTCCACTTTGGCACATCAAATAAAACCCATACACCATGTTTTCTTTCCACTTTGCACACCAACTAAAACTCATACACCATGGCTCGTTGGTCTAGGAGTATGATTCTTGCTTAGGGTGCGAGAGGTCCTGTGTTCAAATCCCGGATAAGCCCAGCTTTCCTCATGGGTCAACAAATAGATTTTCCAACCTTGTTGCATCTGTAGTTTTGTTTCCACTTTGCACACCAAATAAAACCCAGGTTCCATGGCTCGTTGGTCTAGGGGTATGATTCTCGCTTTGGGTGCGAGAGGTCCCGGGTTCAAATCCTAGGCGAGCCCAGCTTTAATAATGGTTCAACACCTAAATTTTCACCCTTGTTGCATCTGTAGTTTTTTTGCACTTTGCACAGCAAATAAAACCAATACAACATGGCTCGTTGGTCTGGGGGAATGATTCTCGCTTAGGGTGCGAGAGGTCCCGGGTTCAAATCCTTGTTGAGCCCAGCTTTAATTATGGTTCAACACCTAAATTATCCACCCTTGTTGCATCTGTAGTTTTTTTGCACTTTGCACAGCAAATAAAACCAATTCAACATGGCTCGTTGGTCTAGGGCTATGATTCTCGCTTAGGGTGCGAGAGGTACCGGCTTCAAATCCAGGACGAGCCCAGCTTTCATTATGGTTCAACAACAAAATTTTCCACCCATGTTGCAATTGTAGTTTTGTTTTCACATTGCACACTAAAAGAAAACCCATACACCATGGCTCGTTGGTCTAGGGGTATGATTCTCGCTTTGGGTGCGAGAGGTCCCGGGTTCAAATCCTGGAAGAACCCAGCTTTAACTATGGTTTAACACCTAAATTTTCCACTCTTTTTGCATCTGTAGTTTTGTTTCCACATTGGACACCAAAAGAATTCCTATGTTCCATGGCTTGTTGGTCTAGGGGTATGATTTCGCTTAGGGTGCGAGAGGTCCCGGGTTTAATTCCCGGACGAGCCCAGCTTTCATTATGGTTCAACAACTAAATTTTCCAACCTTGTTGCATCTGTAGTTTTGTTTCCACATTGCACACCAAAAGGAAACCAACATTCCATGTCTTGTTGGACTAGGGGTATGATTCTCTTTTGAATGCGAGAGGTCCCAGGTTCAAATCCTGGAAGAACCCAGCTTTAACTATGGTTTAACACCTAAATTTTCCACTCTTTTTGCATCTGTAGTTTTGTTTCCACTTTGCACACCAAATAAAACTCAGGTTCCAAGGCTCGTTGGTCTAGGGGTATGATTCTCGCTTTGGGTGCGAGAGGTCCCGGGTTCAAATCCCGGACGAGCCCAGCTTTCATTATGGTTCAACAACTAAATTTTCCAACCTTGTTGCATCTGTAGTTTTCTTTCCACTTTGCACACCAAATAAAACCAAGGTTCCAAGGCTCGTTGGTCTAGGGGTATGATTCTTGCTCTGGGTGCGAGAGGTCCCGGGTTCAAATCCTGGACGAGCCCAGCTTTAACTAACTTTCAACCCTTGTTGCATCTAAAGATTTGTTTACACATTGCACACCAAAAGAAAACCCATGTTCCATGGCTCGTTGGCTCTTGGTCTAGGGGTATGATTCTCGCTTAGGGTGCGAGAGGTCCCGGGTTCAAATCCCGGATGAGCCCAGCTTTCCTCATGGTTCAACAAATATATTTTCCACCCTTGTTGCATCTGTAGTTTTGTTTCCACTTTGCACACCAAATAAAACCCAGGTTCCATGGCTCGTTGGTCTAGGGGTATGATTCTCGCTTTGGGTGCGAGAGGTCCCGGGTTCAAATCCCGGATGAGCCCAGCTTTCCTCATGGTTCAACAAATAAATTTTCCACCTTGTTGCATCTGTAGTTTTGTTTCACTTTGGACACCAAATAAAACAAAGGTTCAGGCTCGTTGGTCTAGGGGTATGATTCTTGCTAAGGGTGCGAGAGGTCCCGGGTTCAAATCCTGGACGAGCCAGCTTTAATTTGGTTAAACACCTATATTTTCCATATGTTTTGCATCTGTAGTTTTGTTTCGATTTGCACACCAAATAAAACCATTCCATGGCTCGTTGGTCTAGGGGTATGATTCTCGCTTAGGGTGCGAGAGGTCCCGGGTTCAAATCCCGGACGAGCCCAGCTTTCATTATGGTTCAACAACTAAATTTTCCACCCTTGTTGCATCTGTAGTTTTGTTTCCACTTTGCACACCAAATAAAACCCACATTCCATGGCTTGTTGGTCTAGGGGTATGATTCTCGCTTTGGGTGCGAGAGGTCCCGGGTTCAAATCCCGGACGAGCCCAGCTTTCATTATGGTTCAACACCTATATTTTCCATGTGTTTTGCATCTGTAGTTTTGTTTCCATTTGGCACACCAAATAAAATCTACATTCCATGGCTCGTTGGTCTAGGGGTATGATTCTCGCTTAGGGTGCGAGAGGTCCCGGGTTCAAATCCCGGACGAGGCCAGCTTTAATAATGATTCAATACCTATAATTTCCATGTGTTTTGCATCTGTTGTTTTGTTTCCATTTGGCACACCGAATAAAACCCACATTCCATGGCTCGTTGGTTTAGAGGTATGATTCTTGCTTAGGGTGCGAGAGGTCCGGGGTTCAAATCCCGGACGAGGCCAGCTTTAATAATGATTCAATACCTATAATTTCCATGTGTTTTGCATGTGTTGTTTTGTTTCCATTTGGCACACCATATAAATTGTCTAGGGGTATGTTTCTTGATTTGGGTGCGGGAGGTCCATGGTTCAAATCCTGGAAGAGCCCAGCTTTAATCATGGTTCAACACCTAAATTTTCCACTCTTGCTGCATCTGTAATTTTGTTTCCACTTTGGACACCAAATGAAACCAATGTTCCATGGCTCGTTGGTCTAGGGGTATGATTCTCGCTTTGGGTGTGAGAGGTCCCAGGTTCAAATCCAGGATGAGCCCAGCTTTAACTATGGTTAAATTTTCCACATCTGTTGCATCTGTAGTTTTGTTTCCACATTGCACACCAAACAAAACCCACGCACCATGGCTAGTGGTATCATTCTTGCTTCGGGTGCGAGAGGTCCCGGGTTCAAATCCTGGAAGTGTCCAGCTTTAATTATGGTTCAACACCTAAATTTTCCAACCTTGTTGCATCTCTAGTTTTGTTTCCACTTTGCACACCAAAAGAAAATCGTTGTTCCATAGCTCGTTGGTCTAGGGGTATGATTTTTGCTTCGGGTGCGAAAGGTCTCGGGTTCAAATCCCGGACGAGCCCAGCTTTCATTATGGTTCAACACCTAAATTTTCCACCCTTGTTGCCTCTTTAGTTTTGTTTTCACTTTGCACACTAAATAAAACCAATGTTTCATGGCTCGTTGGTCTTGGGGTATGATTCTCACTTTGGGTGCGAGAGGTCCCGGGTTCAAATTCTGGACGAGCACAGCTTTAATTATGGTTCAACACCTAAATTTTCAACCCTTGTTGCATCTGTAGTTTTCTTTACACTTTGCACACCAAATAAAACCAACATTCCATGGCTCGTTGGTCTAGGGGTATGACTCTCGCTTCGGGTGCGAGAGGTCCCGGGTTCAAACCCCGGACGAGCCCAGCTTTCATAATGGTTCAACAACTAAATTTTCCAACATTGTTGCATCTGTAGTTTTGTTTCCATTTGGCACACCAAATAAAACCCAGACACCATGGCTCGTTTGTCAAGGGTTATGGCTTCTTGCTTCGGGTGCGAGAGGTCTCGGGTTCAAATCACGGACGAGCCCAGCTTTAACTATGGTTAAATTTTCCACACCTGTTACATCTGTAGTTTTGGTTCCACATTGCACACCAAACAAAACCCAAGCACCATGGCAAGTAGTATGATTCTTGCTTT